CCTCAGAGAGCCGAGCCAGCTCGGCCTCGACGTCGGGCTCGGGCGTCTCCAGGAGCGAACGGAAATGACCGCACTCCTCGGGGGTCAGCAGCTCCGCTAGACGGACGGCCGCGTGGGGGCCCAGGACGTCCACAGCTCCCGCGGGACCCGGCGCCCTGCCCGAGAGCGCCAGGACCAGGGCCCCCGCCAGAGCCCGCGCGGCCATACCTGAGCCGTGACCAAGGACCAGGAACGTACCGGGCTGCTCGGAATTCCTGTGGGCGGGGGAGGGGCGGGAGGAGGCTTGGAACATTCGTGGAGGGACTCCGTGAACTCCGGGAGCGGTGGGCGGATATTAACGGTCCTGTCTGGGACGCGGGGTTGCCCGTCCCAGGGACTGGCACGCAGCCTCCAACGCAGGAACTAGAGTGAGGGGGTTTACGATGAATGCCCAAGGCTCGGGCGGCGCTCTTAGCCCACCTGGAGGCTAGGATTTCGGGCCTCATCCCGACTGTGCTGCTGACATGTCACTAACCAAGTGCAGCACTATCCCCATGCATTTTGTCCCCCATTTTCTACCAGAAGCCCTAGACCCCTCGCTGTCCACTCTCTATCCCAATATCGAGCCAAGTCTTAACTTCTGTGACTTCCTAAACCGGAACTGACTAGCGACCACATCATTTCCCGTTCTTCCACACCTCCAATAGTTGAAACCTTTGTCCTCTCCTGTCTGGATAAGGTGCCTCAGACCCGACCCCCCCAGGCACACACTCTGGGGCCCCACTTACCTAAACCGGTTTCTTTGCCTCAAGGAAGTTCCCGCTGGCTCCTCTCTGGATCCTGGTCAGCTCACTAGCTACCCTAACCATCCTCCTGCACGGTCCTCCGGGAAGGCCCAGGCTGCACACACACCCTCAGTCTGTCTCCCGCAGGCAGCCCTCCTATCTGCTCCACAGCGCTCTGCACCTCTGCCTTCCTACTGTCTCCTCAGCCTTCCATCAACCAGGGCATGGAAGGTGTTCAGTAAAGATTTGCCTAATCAATGTGTGAATTCTTAACTTGCAAATTAGTCCATCCACAGCCACCACCACCACTGTCCCTACACACACACACATGCTTCATCCTGGAGCCCCAGCTCTTAACAAGGTGTGGAACGTCCTGGAAGTCCCAGCTGCCTCGCCCAGCCTCACCTGCCTCCACTCCTGCTCTCCCTGCATGTTTCTGTAGTGAAGCACAGCTGAGGGCACAGAGCCACAGTTCCAGGCTCCTGTCTAGCTGTCTAGGACGTTTTCCTGACAGTATGCCTCCCACCCCCTGTCCAGATCTCTTCTGGGCATCCTCCATTGGGGCACTTAATCTGGAAAAGAATTAGAGGATTTATTTAACGAACATTTGGTCAATGGCTTCTGTGTAAAAATAATTGTGCCAGATGTGAGAATATAAAGATTAATATGATATGGCCGCCCAAGCAGTTTTGTCCAGTTGAATTTTTATTATCCCATCCCCTCTTCCTTCTTTTTTAAGTCTGGGTCTTGGGCCAGTCTTGGTAGGCATGGTGGTTACAGTGTTGGACTCCCACATAGCCGATCACGTTCAAGCCCCAGACCCAGTGGCTTGAAACTCACACTGGGTGAGTGTGTGTGCATGCCCAAAATCTCAAGAGGAGAATAGAGAAGGGATTGCAACATGGCCATCCCCCCTGGGGGGTGATTTCTCACTTTGTCTCTCTCTGTCTCTCTAGCAAGCATATGCACCCTATAGCAAAACTCTCAAAAAGAAAAAAAAGGGGGGGACCAGCAAGTGATGTGGTTAAAGTGCTAGACACTCCCACATAGCAAATCAGGGTTCAAGTCCTGGACCTCGTAGCTCACTTTCTGTCTCTCTGGTCAAACTAAAAAACAAATGACTAAATAAATAAAATTAAATAATACTTAAAAAAAAAAAAAAAAAAAAACTGGGTCTTGCTGTGTTGCTATCCCCTGCCTCTGCCTCCCAAGTAGCTGGGACAGGAACAGTCCGGCACACCCAGCTGTCTTTAAGACAGGTCTGGCTATGTTGCCCAGGCCAGCCTCCAGTTTGCAATCCTCCTGCCTCAGCCTTTTTGGGTCACTGGGATTACAGGCACATGCCATCATGCCCGGCCTTCAGGTTGAACTGGGAATCAAACCAGGCCTCCCATATGGTCCCACCATTGTAGCAGTGTGTTTAATCAAGGCTGAACTTCAGTTGGATTTTTATTTTCTCTTTTTTTGGAGAGGTTTTTGCTATAGGGCGCGTGTGCTCGCCAGACAGAGAGAGACATAGAGACAGAAAGCGAGAAATCACCCCCCCAGGGGGGATGGCCACTCCACAATCCCTTCTCCTCCATTCTCCTCTCGGGATCTTGGGCACGCACGCACACGCGCCCGGCGTGAGTTTAAGCTGCCAGGTCCAGGATTCGAACCGTGGTCGACTACATGGGAGTCCAACCACATAGCCATTGAGCTAGCTGCTGGTCCCCAGTTGGATTTTTAAGTATCTATTTTTTGAGCTTTTCCTGCCTAGACTGGGTTGTCCGGAAACAGCGGCCATACTTGATCCTTTCTATATCTTTAGAGCCACGCCACACCTGTGCACAGTAGTGCATAATAAACTAGAGGAGTGAGGAGGAGGACCTGGATCTCCAAGGGCCTAGAGGGTTGGAGTGCAGAATCCTGGGCGATGTCCCAGAGTCCCCACAGTCCCCACATCCAGGCACACCTACGCTGTCTCTCTCAAAGGGGCAGCTGTGTGCTTTGTGGGAGCGTCTCCTGGTGCTTGCTCTGTCTCCTGCAAGCATGTGGTAAACCTGAACCTGGGTGCACTGCTCCTCGAGCTCTTGTGCACTGAAAACAGTCTTGCCTAGAGTACCAAGGACCTCAAGAGATTGTGGGTTCAGACCTCTGGGGCGGCTCTACGGAGCTTTTCCAGTCATCTCCACACCCGACCCTTGCCCCCTTTCTTGCCATCCAAAAATGGAATGCAAGCACAAACCTAGCTTTAGCCAACAAGGGCTGCTACAGGCTTGGGGTGCCCCCTCTCCTTTGGCCCTCTTGCCTACATGCATCTGTGTTCATTTATTCGACAAGCACAAAAGCCTTTGTATGGCCCTCACATTTTGGGACTCCAGGAATACGAGTCAGCCCCAGTTCTCAGCCTCCAAGAGCCCAGAGTAGCAGAAGGGCCCCTGACCAGGGGCTTGTCACCCTGTACCCTCAGTACCCACTCTGGCCACTTGCTGTGCCAGAGTGAATGACAGGAATTCCATGATAGCTTTTTGCTGAAGGAACAGAAATGCC